GAGTGATGAATCCCTGCATTTCCAAAGCCCTGGCCCTAGGACTCACCTAGGCCTGTCTGTGCTTAGCTGTCTTCCCGTGCACTACAACAGGGGCGTGGTCTTGGCCCAGACTTCTCTCCTACAACTACCTACAGATAGTAGGTAGTTGTAGTACCTACAACTACTTAACAGATAGTTACCTACCTAAGTACCTACAACTACTTAACAGATAGTTTCTGTGCTCTTGCTGTGGGCAGGGGACTGTGTGTACAAAATTGATAACAATAGGATTCCTGCGCTTAAGGCCACCCGGGTTTAGTAAAGGATGTATGTTAAGCAAAAATGCCCAAGAACAGGAACCTGTGGGCGAAAGTACAAGCGGCATAATGCAGACCTGGGGGCAGGGGGGAGTCAGGGGAAGAAGCAGGTGGAGTAGGCAGGAAAGGCCAGTCCAAAGGGAGAAATTTTACTCTGAGTCTCACAGACAAAGACTTGGGGAACATATGTTCTAAGCAATAGAAACAACTTATGCAGGTCCCTGGGGTAGGGAGGAGTTGGGTGCATTTGAGACCAAAAGAAAACTGGTATGGCCTTGATTCCTCGTGGCTGATGTAGGAAGACCCTTCCAGATCTTAGGTGATGGCCCAGGAAGAGAGCAGGACCTAGAATGCGTGGACCCCACACTGCCTTCTGTAAATAGGGTGAGCTTCTGAGCCTGATTTCCCTTCTAACATCAGAGTCACCATGAAGGAATTGAAGCTGTTTCACCAGCCCCCTTCCCTGCCTGACCCAGGGATGTCTCTTTCCTCCAGCCTTCTCAGAACTCCTTCCCAAACGACTCAGGACTAAGTCCTCTACCCCTAGGCTGCTTCTAAGAAGGGCCTCATGCAATTCACCTGTCCTTCTTGTTATACAAGAGACAACTCAAAGGGAGGATGGTTTCTGGTAAACAGGGTGCTCTCAGATGACAATGCCAGAGTCTTCTGGGTTCTTGGCCTCTCACAAGGATCTGAAACACAAAGAGATTGGTGCAGCAGAAGGGACATTGGTTTGGGGAGTCATGAGCTCTGCCATGCACGTGCTGTGCGTCTGGCCTGTCATTTACCTGAGTCTCATTTCCCCATCTATGAAATGGGTGTATATGTGCGATGGTAATTCTTCATAGGGGAGAGTGAGGACTGGTGATATGAATGGAAAGTACCTCATAGTGTTTGGTCATAAGAAAACTCAGGTCCCCTCTCCCCATTCTCCCTTCTGAGAGATCCAGGAGTGGCCCAGAGAAGCAAATCTGAGTGGGTGAGGAAGGCTGGGTTTCACGCCCGCTTTGAGCCAGGTGGCTGGCCTGTTCCAGTTAGGATTTCCGTCCTTAGGTAAACACCATCCACACCTGCAGCAGTGTCTCTGTCCTGCTGAGACCCAGCCTGTGGCTGCAGCAAGGGCTTCTTACCTGGTCTCCCTTCTGCTTTTTCAAGGGAAAGAACGTCTTCCAGTGAATCCATTTCCAGTTGCAGGATCCGAGCTTCAGATGTGCATTCACAGCCAACACCTGTCACCTCTCCTGTGTTTGCTAGTTATGGACAATGGGGGTAGGATGCGTGTAGGGGTCGTTAGCAAAGGCAGCGCAGTGGGTTGATGATGGATGGGGAGAGGAGAGCAGAGTTAGGAAGCTGACACTGAAATCTGAAACTCGGTGCTGACACTGTGTGCGTGTCCTGTCATTTCAGTGCCTCACAGCGTGGGAGTCAATTATTCCACTACTGCAGGAGAAGCAAGAGGCCAAGTAAGTTGCTTCTGGGGACAGAGACTCTTCTACCTACACAGGGCATGGCACCCCTTCCTGGAACGTCCCTGCAGCGCCGGAGAGGCAGCGCTGGGAAAAGCACCACCGCAGAGGCAACTCTCATTTGTGTTGTTCCCGCCCCTCCACCTCACCCCACGGTTGTTTCCAATTAGTATTTATTCCTTGGTGGATTCTGGGAGGCTGGAAGCATCTCTCAGCTAACGCAGTGTCCCTCCAGGGCGTGAAGGAACCTGCCCAGCAGAGCGCTGTGAAGAGCTGCAGCCGAGGGTCGGGGACCCGCAGTGGCGTCCTGACATTTCACTACGGTTTACTTTCTGGGGGTTTCCTCACCTGTTGTAGGAGAGAACCCAGGTCCTGCTTTCTAAGGACTCAAAAGGAGGCAGAAACAGAAGGCAGCGGCTCTGGAATTGAGCTCTGTGGACATTGCTCTGTCTCAGTCTGGAAGGAGGTGTGGGCACCTCCGTGGAAAGTCCTTAATGTACAGTGGCCTGTAGCTGTGAGTGTGGCCTGCTGCCTGCTTGTGACGAGTGATATCTATTTTATTGTTTCGGTTTTGCGTAGGGACATTTAAATCAGTGTCAATATGCATCCGTGCCTGAGGGAGAGGCCCCAGTCCTTGTCCTCAAGCGATGCCTTGGGGAACTGAGGGGCCTGCTCTCTGGACTGGCTTCTGACACGAGAATGCAATAGATGGGAAACTTTTTGTGTAAAATGAAAAAAAAAAAGGTGCATCTTTCTCTGTGGAGGTCTTCAGTGTTTTTCTTTTGCTTGTTAATTGTCATCAGAGCAGGGATTAGGTCCGTTAGGGAGTATCTGTCATCGTGAAGTCTGAGAAGCTCACTGCACTTGTCGAGATCAGTGGGCATATACCAAACCCCACCTCCAGTGTCTGCTTTGTGCAATTTGCCTTTATCTCACCAAAAAGAGCTAGTTGGATATTTCCTACTGTGTCTGCTGAATGTTGGGGCATGCTTTTGGTGAGAGGGCTGGTATGTCGTGTTGTTATGACACAGCTGAAATCTGTAAACTCCATGTGAATGTTCTACATAAAGTGCTTTAACCCGTAACATTTCCTGATCAGGAAGAAAAGTCAGTACCTGGACAGGCCTCGAAGACGACAAGCATAACCATGAACTCTTTGCTTTTAGTTAAGTTAAAATCTCCTCAACTGGTAGCCACGTTCTTGGGGACTGCTGGCTGTGTTTAAAGCCTTCATTTCAAATTATCACCAGGTTTACTTTTCACATCACAAAACAGTCAACAAGGCTCTATCTTCTTGTTCATTTTTTCCCTCCTGAAATGAAGCTACTTAATGTCATATTGTGTCCTTTAACCTGCAGCTCATCCCTATAAAACTAAATCTGAGCCTAATAAACGGTGGCAGGTCTTTGTTTTTAATGAAACAGCTGTGTTAACACACTGCGCCCGCAAGTTCACCTGCAGATACTGGCCACCATGCAGCATGTTGGAGTCACTCCATCTCACTCCTAACTGCAGGGCAGACCTTGCATCGGCCACAGCTGTGGTTCTGTCGGTACAGCAGTTGAACAGCACAGATGGGTTCGGTTCTGTTGCATCGAGTTTGGCAACACCGCAGTTTAAATGATAATTCTTACATCAGTTGGTACTTGCCTGTACTGTCAAACCCCATTTGTGCCATTCCAAAATCCTTTGATGTGAATTTTCAGTTCGGTACAATTAGAAACAATTCGTTGGAGCAGAAGGGTGAGAACAGCCTGTCTACCCCCCGAGTGGTGACTCAGCATTTCACTCTACCTCTAAGCCGTGGTCGTGTTGGTGTGGGGATGGACGCTGGGTCTGGCCTGCCGCTGTGCTGGGAGCATCAGAGTGTGTGTCTGATAGTGAGCTCACAGTCCCCTGCCGCTCTTGGGCAGAAGATACCAGACCAACCCAACAGCAAATGCTCGTATTTGGGGGACACTTGAAGCTTCCGCTTGTGGAATGTGTGCTTTAAAGATGTTGTCCAGGGTCCTGAATGCTTGGAGTGAATTGTGGGAAGAGTTATAGGAAATTACCTGCTAGTTGCCAAAGCCCAAAAACATTCCCATATAATGGTTTGTTGGGAAAGAAGGAAGCATTTCCAAAAAAAAAAAAAAAAGAAAATCACCAGGTTTCTCCCCAGGAGATGGGGAGAGGGGCGTGGCTTGCACAGTCATTCCCTGTCCTCATGGGAGGGCAGAAAACTGGCTCTGAAGGGATCCAGGGATCTTAGGATTCTGTCTTGCTCTATTTGTTTGGTCCCCATGCAATGCCTTGTACTTTAAGATACCAGAAAGATCTGGAACAAGGCACACTTTCTGTCCTCTAGGAATGCTATTGATAGCAAAGCCAGGAAAACCAGTGTACTTTACAGACTTCTTTGGAGAAATAGTCCTGGAAGAGAACAGACTCTTGTCCCCTGCCTTTAGGCTGGCATCCAAGAGATGAGGAGGCTAGTCCCAAGGAAGGAGATAGTACGTAGTCCCTTCCCACCTCCTTGGCTTCCTTGGGCCTCTGAGCATCAACAGCCCCAAGCATTTCTCTGGATCAAGTGCAAAGGAGACCTCCTAGAAGTGTCACTTGGAGACTTTGGTGCCAAAGACTACCTTGGAGAGGTTTCATCATCTAATCCTTCCTGGCTCCACAAAATGGTGGCCCTGAGATCCCTGACTTCTAGCTTATTTTTCACGAGGCTTTTCACTGAAGGTACCCTTTATCTCAGGCAGACGGACATAGACAGGTTTTGAAGCTTGAGCACATGGCAGTGGGTGGTGGGTCCTCCCTAGCAACTGCCCTGGGCCTGGGAAATGAAAAGTTTCATTCACTCAGGTTAAGAATCCAGGCTGAGGCAGGAGAGCGGATTCTGAGAAACTGAGCAGATTTTAGAAATGGAAATGATGTTTGTGATTTGTAGCAAGTATGGACACTACTCTTCCTTATTAACATGGTAGATCCCCAAGAATATTCTAGGCTATTCTGCTCCAAGCAAGGAATCACTGCCCCTTAACTGAGGTTGGGTCTTATCCTTTCATGAGGCTTTGCAATGATTCCTGGTGACCGTAAAGTGTGACCGTAGAGGAGAGTAGCTCTGTGTTTCAGCAGGCCACTCATTCAACTGACCAGACACCTTTCTTTCACTGAAATAACAGACCAGCATGACTGTAGGTATCACAGTGAATGTAGACTATGTTTGTTTTGATGCCAAATTTCAGCCCTACCTGGAGGAGCATATCCTAGTAAGGTGATGTTGACTTGAACGTGTTTCCTCAGTCACCACTTCCCATTGTGAAATTTAGTGCATACCTGCTGCTCCCTGCTCATGAGGCCATCTTTTGTAATCAAAAGATGGGACATTCTGCTTCAGAAGAGAGAATGATGACAGCGTGGTAGTCAGCAAGTGGCGTTTCTCTCCTGGGGTGTCGCCCAAGGAGCATCCAGAGTCTGTGTGACTTGGTTCTGCCACTGACAGCATCACAGGCCCTGGCTCTGTGTGGACACCACACATCGGGACGCAGGACAGTCATTGTCTATGCTCTATCCTGAGCCTGGGAGAGAGGAGGGGCACACGTCAGGGGTGGCCTCCGAGGGCTGCTCTGGCCTCTTCAGTGCAGGTGTCCAGATGGGCGTGAGCTGGGCTCTGCCCCGGCTGGATGGTGCTGCTGATGGAGCCACAGGGTGGCTCCTCTTAGATGGGCTGCCTGTGGTCAGGGCAGGACACACCTGTGTGGACCCCACCTTCCCAGATGCCTACTCTAAGGGCCTGTGGAAACGGGTCATCTAATAATTATATGGCCAGGGTAGCACTGCTCTGGCCTCTCTCATTTACAAAATCATGATGGGAATTTGGATATGCTGCTCACTCAGGGTGGCAAGAGATTGGGTGTCCTCTCTCATTCTTACATATTCTCTGTTGGGATTGCAGCTGGGTGGCATTTTTCAGTCAGTTTGAGGAAGATGCTCTCTCCTGGGCCAGCCTTACAGATTGAGTTGAGTATGTTGGAGTTGTTCTCTTCTTTGTGGTTTTTTAATTCAGTAAATTAACCAGGAACTCAATTTTCCCACCAACCACCCTATAGGTTGTCAGGATTTTTTGTTGTTTTAAGGATATCTGGTCACCCTATAGTTATTTGGCACATTGGAGTATGTGCAGGGGCTGTCTGTGTTAGACAGTTGGGTGGTGGCTTTGTTGCTGGGGGATTGACTGTTCTTTCTTAGTCATTTGTGTGTGAAGTGTACCCTGGGTATGACTGTCTTTCTAAACCTTTTTCTGGGGCAGAAAAATAAATTATCCAGGTAGTTTTTGCTACTATAGCCAGTCTGTAAATAAGTGCTTTGAAAAAAATCACTTTAACAAACCAATAAGAAATTTGTCTTGTACATAAACATTCTGTGTACTTAGCACTTGAAAAATCAACAAATGCAGAATTTAAAGAATGCCACAGACTGTTACATGTCCAGCCCTACTTTTTTGAGAATTTGTCCACACTTACTAATATGCCTTATTCTTTAACTAGTGTTTTTAAAATTCTGGGTAGAAAGAATTTTAGAGATATAATCAGTTGCTTAGCTTAAACAATAAATACCTAACATAGTCCTCAGTCCTCTTAAGCAAGAAAGTGAGGGTCATCACGAGGGTTGCCTTTTGGGAAGAAATAACTAAAACTCAATATTGCTACTGCCAAATGATATTTTTGATAATGTAAGAAAACACAGGGACCACAAAACTTCCTTTTTTAAGTGCAAAAGGTTAATTTCATGCCATGTTGGCATACTTTCAATTTTAGAGGATACAGTATCAGCACGGACAAATCATATAGCTACAAGGTACTCTATAGATTATGACAATATTAAAGGTTGACCTTGATCCTGTAGAACAACTTTTTAAGATGCTGTGGGGACCTCAGAGCAGCATGTTTCAGGTAGAAATTCTCCACAGGTTGAAATGCCAAAAACATATAAAACCTATTATGTTGACTCGCGTCCATTTTAGCAGAGCTGTTACTATGACAACGAGTGATGAAGAGTATTGTATGTGTACCTCTCCCAGAAGCCCCACCCCCTCACCAGGTGAGCCTGGGCCCTCGGTGGGCTGGGTCACAGCAGGTGACTCCTATCACATCCCTGTTGGACAGGCTTGTTCACAGTCTTACACCAACGCTTCAATCAGAAACCATACTGGAAGGAGGAAGTGGGAAGGGCTTCATATGCAAATGAGAGAGGAAGTTAGACTCAAATAAAAATGTGAAATCAGTATGGCGAAGCACCGGCTCTGTCATCTGGGCCTTCACTGAGTAACAAACCAGCATCTCTTAACAGTCAGCACTGTTCATGTGGACACCCCTGAGGTTTTGGTTCTGTCCAGTCAATTCCCTGTCCCTTGTACTTCTGTGTGCCTGTCCCCGTCCCCTCTGAGTTGGGAATACATTGGGAGATGACGTACATCTGATATATTCCCATACAAGAAACTGCCAGCAGACTTTCTAACTTGCATTTTAACTGTTAAAGATGAGATTTTAAAAACCTTTTGCTTAGAACATGTCCAAATTACAGACTGTATTTCTTATTTCTAGAAGTCATTCCTTACGTTTAAAATTTTAAAAGGAAAACAAAATCTACCTTCTGAGATAGTGACAGTCCTCTGTGTAAATGTTATCTTCTCTCCTTGCTGCCATTAAGCCAAAATAAAAGCTGTGAAAAAAAAAGTGCTTGAGGGAATGTGTGTGGATAAGTGATTTATCTTTTGTTTCATGAAGCTACCAAACTTTACACAGCATATCGCCTTTTTGTCTTTGTTATGAAACCTAGAGATTGTAAAATGGGGAGGGGCAGGAGATTGTTTTTGTTGAACTTTTGATGCTGGCACAATGCTTTTGTCCACTTTTTTTTTTTCCATATTTTGGTGTATAAAAAATTCTGTTGTTTACTATGGGATTAGTATTACGTTTTGAGGTAAACAAAAGAATTTGTATTGCTTGATAAACTATTAGCTTGTAAATTTTAAAAAGTTTCTTTACCTCAATTAACTTAATGGACCAATAAAACTATAAAAGATGCTTTCTTTACCTTGAGTCAGATTCTCATTTGTGCCTTTTTGTAGGACAGAGAAACGTGGCAGAGAGACGTGTGCTGCTGCTTCTGTTTTCTTACATTCTCTGAACATCTATTAGTTTGCCTGCAAGAATCAGGAACATACAGAGCAATGGGACAAAAAAAAGCAGCCTATTTTTGCTCTTCTTTACTTCTTTATAGACCCAGCCTCGATTTTTCCTCTCCTGCATCTTACAAATGGGCATCTATTTGGGCAGATGAAGAAACCACCTAGTGTGGTAACCGTCATGATTGGCAGCAGCCTGATGCCAGGTATTAATGACATGAAAGGCCGTCCCATAGCAAAGTACAAGAACTGAGTCAGGGCCAGTCCTTTACTTTTCTTTCTTTCTTTTTTTTTTTTGGATACTATAATGTTTTTGAAGAATTTATAAGGAAAGAAGAAATATCTGTGGTTTATTACTATTACAGCTTTGAGACCTGAGTGGATCCTTTTCCTCCTCTTCCGCATCCTTAATTCCTGAGGCCTCAAAGACCCTGTCCTTGGTTCTCTTCCCAAGTAATCTAGTCCATTGCCATGAACTTGAGAACTCCATTTTCAATAGTCTATTCAACCTCTCCACCTAAATTTCCTCAAACCTACATCCAAACTACATTCATCTCCCACCCACCACCTAAGCTTACTTCGTCTTTGACATGTAGTATTCCTCTCCTGATTGATTTCAGTGAATGCCGTCAGCTCTATCTTCCAGGCTGGAAATCTAATCACCCCTGGACTGTTCCCCTCCCTAGGGAAATCTCCTAAATCCAGCTGTTTTACTTCCCTTTATCACTTCTTGCCAAGCTTTTACAGTCTATTCCTATTTATTCTCCAGGCCTCAACCTGACCACAATCCTTCAGCATCCTATTTCCATCATCTTCTTAACAAGAAAATAGGAGAAATAAAAGATGTATCCTACTTACAAAAAAAAAAAAAAGAATTCATGGACAGGTGCAGTGGCTCACACTTAGAATCTCAGCACTCTGGGAAGCTGAGGTGGGAGGAATGCTTGAAGCCAGGAGTTCCAGACCAGCCTAAGAAAGAGCAAGACCCCATCTCTACAAAAAGTGTAAAATTTAGCCAGGCATGGTAGTCTGTGCCTGTAGTTCCAGCTACTAAGGAGGCTGAGGCAGGAGGATCGCTTGAGCACAGGAGTTGGAGGTTGCAGTGAGCTATGACTGCACCACAGCACTCTAGCCTTGGCAACACAGTGAGACTTTCTGAAAAAACAAAAACAAAAACAAAAAAACCCAGTGCTGGCTTTGGCAGCACATATACTAAAATTGGAACGATACAGAGAAGATTAGCATGGCCACTGCACAAGGATGACATGCAAATTTGTGAAGTGGATATTCACAATGGAATGGATATATATATATATATATATTTGAGACAGAACCTCAAGCTGTCGCCGTGGGTGGAATGCCTTGGCATCACAGCTCACAGCAACCTCCAACTCCCGGGCTCAAGCGAGTCTCCTGCCTCAGCCTCCCAAGTAGCTGGGACTATAGGCGGCCACCACAATGCCCAGCTATTTTTTGGTTGCAGTGGGCCCGGGCTGGATTCGAACCCACCAGCTTGGGTGTACGTGGCTGGCGCCTTAGCTGCTTGAGCCACAGGTGCCAAGTCGGAATGTATATTTTTAAATAAAAACACTGAGCATCTAAAAAAAAAAAAAAACACAAAGCATACAGGAGGAGTTGTTGTCCTCACTGTTTAAGTTGACCATATGTAAACGATAGGAAGAGCCTTTCCAAAAGGGCTATTGTGTAGTGAGTATCCATGCAGACACTTAGGTGCATTGTATACATTATTGCTAGCCCCTCGCCCTTTTTGTTCCCTTTGCTTTGAATTCCTAAACCTGGGGATATTTTTTTCATCAGCACTGCAGGTATGTGTCTCTTTTTGCCTGGACTGTCCCCCAACATCTGGCTTTGGTAACTCCTGCTCATCCTCCCATCTTATCATTGATGTCACTTCTGGGAAGCCCTCCCTGCTTTCCCACATCTGGGTTAGATGCTCCCTTGGGTTGGCATTTATCGCAGGGAACATCGCTGCCTGCCGTTCTTTCTGGGCCAGCTGTCAGTGCGCTCTGTTAGGGCGGAAACAGTCATGTCTTGTTCTCAGTGTATCTCGGCACCTCACGTGCTTCTGGGATCGGAGTAGATGAGCCGTAAAGTTTCATTCATTCCCTGCAAGAACCTCAGCAGTACAAACTCCCTGACCCCAAATGCCCTGAGATTTCACTGCGTTCTCCAGCTTCGTGTTTTACCCCTGGTGAGAATGTTGTGTCTGTAGTTACAGAGGGAGTCTGAGCTGGGAAAGAATGATTCATACATCATACACTCATACTAGGAATGCTAATTTTATTAGGAGGTGAGTCTGCTTTTGTAGATCCAAGTCAAATAGGCTATAAAAATAAGTACCTCAAAGTAAAATGGCTCTTTACATAAATCCTCTTCCTCCACTTTGGGAAGCATTGTCAACTGAATGTATTCGATGGAACATTCCACTGAAGCAAGTCTTTTGGTATTTGCCTCTTAAAAGCAGCAATAACATTACCCAGAAGCCACAGGCCTGGGCTCCATTGCTCACAGCTAAGGAAAGAAAGCTCACTTCTTTCAAGGTTTTATTTTAATTTAGAAGATAGTGTTTGTGTGAGAAACTGATGCCAGTTCTTATAAAATGTCCCCTCCACATTCCCCTTAAGCTATTGCACATGTATGCCTCGGGCCGAGTTCTCTGGCAGGACTCCCAGCACAGCACCCAGGGGGCTAGTCAGCCACACCGTGGAGCCCTCTAGACAATCTCTGGAAGAAACAGGGTGGGGCGGGTGGCTTTCTGCAGCCTGAGTCTGAAACCCCTTGTCGGGTCTGGAATGGCAGCAGGCAGCCCACAGGGTTAGCCTGGAGCTTCTACTCTGCTGCCCACAGAGCCTAATCTCTGCCTAATAGGCGTGTCTTAAAGCTGAGAAATTTCTGTCACCAGAAAAGTGCTTTTTCCCACCCACCAGGGACCCCTGAGCCAGAGCAGCTGATTCTGAGGCCCACTCCAGTTTCTAGGCCCGTGCTTGCTTTGGTCACCAGTTCCCCAGGCCCTTCTTTTGTCTTCAAGGGGACTTGGCTGTTGCTGGTGTTTTAGACTCCCATGGGTCAGCACCTTCATTTCTCTGTGATGTCTCCATATCGCGACCATGGGACTTGTTTATAAGCCACGATGCTGTAAGAATTTACAATAGAGAGTTACAAGAGAACAGCCAGCATGGGTGGTGTGAGGTCTTTTTGTCATTGAAAGACTGAGAGGCTGTATCTATCCACTTAATGGCATCAGAATGATGCTTGGTGGAGCGGGTGTTCCCAGGAAACCTCTCTCATTCCAGGTTCATTCTTGTCCTGCAGGTAACGGGGTCTCTGCCTGTTTCCCATGACATCATGGGCCCTTTGCAGCTACACTTTTCCTGGAATCTTTTTCCATTTCAGTTCTGCCTGATAACAAACTCCCATGTAGATCTCAAGGTCAAGGTTAGGCTTTGCTAATCCCAGGAAGAATTGACTGCTTCCTCTTCTGCCTTTCCATAGCCCTTTGTCCCTTCCATACATCTATTACATTGTTTAAAATTATTTCTAAGTGAATGGATACATAGCAGTTAGGAACTCTGAATTAAAGTCTTGAATCCTGTGAACTTTGGTGCGTCCTTCAACTTCTGGGGGCCTGGGTTTTCTCATCTATTTAGAGCTCCAGGATCCTCAGGTTCTAAGCTAGAGCACAGCACTTAAAACTTGTTATATGACAAGGTTGGCAAGTGAGGAGTCAAGACACAGGAGCAGCCAGTGCAGGGCCACACCATCCCTACTGTGGACCACACCAGGTGATGGCCAGCCCGGGAAGCTCTGGGGTATGCACGGTTAGCAGTGGAAGAGGTGCCATGCCCTCTGACGGGTGTTCACTCATTAAGCAAATGCTTTCTGACTAGTTACGTGCTGAGCTGTCCGGCAGATACAGAGGATACGTGGTTAGCCAAACAACTGTGGTCTCTACCCTCAGGGAGCCTGCAGTCTAGTGGGCAAAGTCACTAAATAATCATCCACTGTCCTACTACAAAGGAAAAATATAGAAAGTTCTGGGAGCATGTGATGGAGGGATATTGAGGAGGGTTAGGACAATCTTCTTCGACAAATGGTGTTTCAGTGAAGACCCACGACTAGTTTAAATAGTAACTTAGATGCTAAGATGGAGGTGAGGGTGAGGAAGAGGAGACCTTTGAGGGGAGTGGCTGTGACTGAAACACAGGAGTGGGTTCGGGGGTCAGGATGGGAGGTGGGGGTCAGTGGCTTGGGTTTGATCCTAAGAGCAATGAGTAGCATGGGGAGGCTGGTGCTGTGTTGGCTACTGGACCAAGAAAAAAAAATTGCCCTGGTACAGCGGCTTATGCCTTTAATCCTAGCATTTTGAGAGGCTGAGGTGGGAGGATTTCTTGAGGCCAGGAGTATGAGACCAGCCTGAGCAACAGTGAGACCCTGTCTCTACAAAAAGTGAAAAAATTAGTGGGCTATGGTGGCGGGATGCCTATAGTCTCAGTAACTTGGGGGGCTGAGGCAGGAGGATCCCTTGAGCCTAGGAGTCTGAGGTTTCTGTGAGCTATGATGACACCACAGCACTCCAGCCTGGGTGACAGAGTGAGAGCCTATCTCAAATAAATAAATAAATAAGAAGCAATGAAAGCCAAGTATGGGGTTTTGAACAGGAGCTTACATGACCTGAGTTACGCTGTAAAGAAATTTCTCTGGCCAGCTGGTGGGAAGAGAACAAGAGTGGATATGGGGAGAATGGTTCAAAAGTGGACTCAGTCACTGGGGTGCTTTGGAGTAGGGGTGGTAGCAGTAGAAATGAAAAGAAAAGGGTGACTTTGAGGCCTATTTTAGAGGTAGGATGAAGAAATGAGGGCTGCTGGGCTGGAGGTGCTGGGAGATAAGAAAGGGGGGTGCTGGTGACTCAGTTCTCTACTCTGATAGGGGTACCAGTTAGTGGGGGCAGGTTCAAGAATGAATTTTGGAAGTTTAATTGGTAATCTGAACGTTTGGAAGTACCTT